TGTCATCCACTGGCAGAGGGGTGGGCTGTGCGTAGGAGAACTGAAGGCCGAACCTCTGAAGGACCTGGCACACCAAATGTGACAGTGTGATAGTGATGGTGCACGCTGCTCTGTTCCTGGAGCGGCGAGCTAAGGCCAGCTCGGTGCAGGGGGCTAGGGCATTTGCGGCGAGCTAGGGCAGGAGCGCGCTACGGGTGGGGCACGCTAAGGGGTGGGGCACTCTAAAACGGGGAGCTCTAAAGGCTAGGACGGAAGCACAAGTGGGTGGGACCTACCTAGCATGATACCATATCAAAATAACGAAGTGAACTCTAGCAAGAGCATACAGGGTGATATAAGGGTTTGGTGTTGTACTCCCTAAGAGCATGAATCCGTCTATCCTGTAACCATACATGCACAACAAATGTATAAGTTGACACCATTGTCTGATTTTCAGTTGTGTTTCTTAGGGGTTTGTCGGTTTCTTTTGTAAATAGAAAAATCATGTGTCCGATGCCTTAGAGATTTAATATTGTCGTATGTATAGGGCCAGATAGAAGATATATGTGACTTATCATATACTGTCTTATCATTGTGTGGTGCCTTAGAGATCGAATCTTACCGCAGGGATACACCCAGATAGAAGAGATTTATGCCTTAGAGATCTTTGTTACGATTAGGAATTACTTACATCCCTGAAAGTGACATTCGAGTAGTAACTCTTGTCGAGTTTGCATCTTTAACGAATCAAGAAGTGCAATGGTTGATGATCGTTGAGACGTTGATCGACAATCGAAGAGACAGGAGTTCAAGGTTCCGACTATGGTAGCAAGGGCACATATTTGGCACTGCAATACAACGCGGGCAGTTACCTGTGTGCGGTAACCCGAGTCAGATCTGAATCCTTAAAGGGAATGTACCCCTGCTAAGTGCATCTTTGTTAGACCCTTCGCATTCTCTTGTATCACTGTGTGAACCCTGTATCTCTGTGCTATAATCAGTTCTGTTAAGTTACATTCACTCTGACTGAGTGCTCGACCAATCAAGTGCTTCCGCAAAGCGTACTACTACACTTCAATCCTGAAAATCCTACAGAATATATTGGACCGCTTCAAGGTAAACAAAGCCTGTTAGGATTCTACACACGACACCCTGGATCAGATTCAAATTCGAATATCGTGGCGCCAGTGACCCACTCCCGCCACAGAATGGCCCCGGGCTCGGGATCACGAGGACAAGGAAGCCCCCCTTCCGAAGCACCTGCAATCACTCTGAATCCGGCGGCAACAATGACCGTCTCCACATAACTCCTAGAAAGATTGCTCTAGCGAATGCCAACTCTTGAAGATGGAATAAAATCTCTCAAGTTTGACGGCTCGAGCACTGCTTGCCAAACCACTGAAATGCAACCAACCTCTGCAGAGAAGGACTCCACTCCTGGCTACTTCAACTTTGACGCTTCCAACATGCAACCACATGCAAGCATACGATTAAGTGACGAAGCCCTTCATACTGCACAGTCGAAGTTTCACGCTATCTCGAAAATAAGAACTAGCTAAATCTTCGATGGTCGCGATTTCTACACTTGGAGCTTTGAGTTCTAGCTTATCCTGCAAAGTGCACAAATCTTCTGCTACTTCGATGGCTCTTACCCTGGATCAACGATCCACACCAAAAACGCAAAACAACGAGACTACAATGAATCACTCATGGCATATAGCGTCTTCCTGGAGAACTGATCCCCTTCATAACAACTCGGAATTTGATCGTTCAAAACACGCGCCGCTCGGGCATGAGATTCCTGGTTGTACCTGAGAAATTTTATACCAACCAAAGGACTCATGTTGTCGACTCGACTACTCGGCCAGCTAAAAGAAGTAAAAATGGTCTCTGGAGAGAAGGCCTACGGAGAAACAGATTCACTTCGCACTTTAGACGTCGGCATGACCACCCCAGAACTAGCAGCAGCCATCACCATTGTTCCTTTCCTAGGAACGGTGAACCCCCCCACACACAGACAGACACCGCTTGAACAGTTCTTGACCTATGTGGGGCTAGGATCTTTCAACGACACTGGATGAGCAAACCCGTGGGAACTGGCCACACACATGGCTTTCAATCCCAATTGGAGAGAACTCACACCACAGGATTTGGCGGACCAGGCTACAAAACTCTCCTCAGACATGAACGCCTGGGCACGCTCCCTCATGGAAATCGCCGCAAGACCGGCCCAACATCTCCAGAAGCGGAAGAAGCAGCAACAACATCAACGATCCTAGCATCAGTAGCCCGAGAGGCAGCAGCAGAGACAGCAGCAGCAGAGGCAGCAAAAGCAAAGGCAGCAGCAGTAGAGGCAGCAGCAGCAAAGGGAACAGCAGCAGAGGCAGCAGCAATGGAGACAAAAGCAGCAGAGGGAGCAGCAACAACAAGAACCAGCACGCCAAACCATCAAACCCAGAGTCGAGATTGGCGCACCCTCATACAGACAAATCTCTGGTTGGGCTACCTCAGCCTCAGATGAGTGGAGATGGCCAGACCCCCCAAAGCCAATAATAAGAGTGCCCTAGGGAACAGGAATGGCCAGCCGCCAACCAGCCCAGCGAAACCCCTGGGTTTGGAACCCAGCAACTGGACGATACCGACTCAATCACAACATCTGGTATGGTGGAGGAGATGATGAGGATGACAAAGAGGAATAGGAGTGAAACACACATGGTGCATACGTTCCTCTTGGTCGTCCTCCCCAAGCTCCTGGAACATGGGCCGAAAATGACATAGTCGCCTTTGACAAGGACCCACTCAACTGGCACTACTACCATGCATCACCTCTGCCTCAACCTCAAAGCCCTCTTTCTCTGACAACAACCCCAGTTGGGCCTGACGACGAAGACAACCTCAATGAGGCCGGAACCATTGAAGGCCCTCCACAGCCTCACCTTTCTCATCCCACAACTGCTCCTGAAGAAGAGGCTGAGAGTGAAGTTGGACCAAGTTGCTCCCCTTGAGCCAGAGAGATCCCCACGGACCTCATTGACTGAGAGTTCCATGGACAGGAACTGTAAGAAATCCAAGCTCCTTGCACCTGCACAGTCTGTCCTGAAGCTGCTCTCACACACAGCCCCTTCCCAAATCCCCCATGGTGCCCCATCCGCTACACACAATTGGACAAGGTCTATAGCGACTATCTTGTCTTCACACATAAAATATTACAGGGGGAGCAATACACTCTGACCTTCATCGACGCTGCCACCCGCTATGTTTGGGCAGTCAACGTCTAGAACAGAGGGGGAGTTCTCAACATCTTCCGACCCTGGCTCGCTCTCGCTGAGCGCCAATCTGGAAGAAAGCTCAAATATTGGAAGCCAGATGGAGCTCAGGAATTCCGGAGTGAAGAGCTTTAGACTCATCTCCAAGAACTCGGGATCGAGCATATTGCTCTCCCCACATTACTCTCACCCATAGCAAGACGTCGCTGAACAGACCAGCCACACCCTACACAACCAGACCGGACTGCCCCAGAGTATTGGCCCTACACAATGCACCATGCAGTACGCCTTCACAACCTACTGTCCACCACTGCCAATGAAGGGAATCGATTCCCCTACCTGGCCTAGACGGGAAGGCCAGGTGACACTACCATGCTGCAAGTCTCGGGCTGCATGGTCCAGTATCGACCTCATCAAGCCATCATCGGGAAGTTCGAAAGCCGAGCTTGCTTCGGCGTCCACCTTGGAATCTCGCATGAGTACCAAGCGTGGACGATCCTGGACCTGGAGAATTCCAACATTGTCCCCTCCAGGGACATACTGTTCTATGAAGGTCTCACTCTGAAGCACTTCGGGGAAGATCGATCTACCAATCGAGCAGCAGCCTATGCATGATGAGAACGTAGCTCCTCTCCAGATTACAAAGTTTTCGCTGCTCGACTGGACTTGGACCCACCTGACAAACACCAAGGCGAAAATCCACACTTCGACGATGACAACGACGCGGACAACACCCCTCTCGACCCCTCTCACGACACACTGCACCGCGGCAGAACCATTGGGACCCTTGCAGACTCACAGCTTGACGCTGGCTCGGACGATGGCGTACAAGAGGCCACCGAAGGCGTGAATCACACCACCAGCCTCTCCGGCCTCCACATCCTTGGTCTCCATGCAGCAATTCACCAGGGCCCTTCCGTGATCAAGCCAAAAACGCTCCGACAGGCTCTCATTGGATCCCATTATGTAGAATGACGCAAGGCCATGGACGCTGACCTTGCCGCACTTCGCTCCGCGCAGTAGTGAAGGGGAGGAAGATCGTATTCAACAAATGAGTCTATCATGTCAAGACGGGCGCCCAAGAAAATATCAAGCACTACCAAGCACGATGGGTCATACGAGGCTACAATCAATGTCACGGCATCGACTTCGACCTAACCCTCGCCCCCATCAGTCGTCACACCTCCGTGCGCATTCTCCTTGCAAATCGCCACATGCCGGCAGCTAGAGCTCCAACTGATCGACGTCAAGAATGTGTTCCTATACGCAAAAGTTGGTGCTCTAATCTTCGTTGAGCAACCTCACACCTACGGCGACAGGGACCCTCGCATCTGCTAACTTAAAAATCCCTTTACGAGATCAAGCACGCACCATGCCAGTGGCATCAGCACCTGCACGACATATTGCTGAACATTGGCTTCATCCATCTACCCCACAACCCTGGGATGTACCGCCTCCACTTCCAGGGGGACTACATCCTCCTCACGGTCTACGTCGACAGCCCGCTCTACACTCGCACCAACCCAGATCTGCTCGACCAGTTCGAGCGAAGCCTGGAAAGCGCGTCGACATCACCACCTCCAAGACCGTAACTCAAATTATCCGCCTCAAAGTCTCCTACATGCCAGAAGCCATCCACCTCTCCGCCTATGCCGAGACCCTCACCATGAAATTCAGCCTCACACCAACACCGCTCTCCACACCCTACCGCACACTTGCCACTAGCTACAAGTCAGACACCAAGATGCCCGCCCCTGCTGCACATGAACTCGGCAATCCGTTGTCTGATATCGGTTTCATTCACAAAAGGATGTGTCACAAGTGAAGCACACAAGCATATTTACCTAGCATCCCACCAAATGCAAAAGGAAGCAGCCCACCAATCACTAGCTTGAACCCCACTCCAAAACTCAGATGTTGCGATATGAGATTATTGTCACAACAGCCTTTTTCTCCCACGCATGGCACCTGCGAAATCCACCCTTTTCACCTGCGAATTTTACCTGAAATTTGCACATTCACTCCACATTTCACCTGCGTGTGCCCACGTATTTTCACATGTAAACCCCAAGTGCAAATAGTGTCAAGAGTATGTAGACGTGAAATCCACCTAGCGCCACACACCCCAATCTGAAGCCATGCGTAATTCACCTTAGCATATCTTCCCCATGCATTTCCTTGTGATCTCATCCCCTTTACTAACTTCTCCATGCCTTATACAAGGCTTAAGGTTTATGTGGTAGTTGCTGCACCTTGTTAGAATCCTCAAGGGCTCCCATAAAGCTCCTACAAGACTCTTAAACCACCCTCATAATTCCTCCATAAGACGTCCATAAGTTCCCCATGTGACTCTCATGTGACTTCCGTGTAACTCCCATGTGACTCCCGTGTGACGCCCGTGTGACTCGCGTATGACTCCCATGGGAATTCCATGGGACTTCCATGGGACTTCCATGGGACTTCCATGGGACTTCCATGGGACTTCCATGGGACTTCCATGGGACTTCCATGGGACTTCCATGGGACTTCCATGGGACTTCCATGGGACTCCCGTAGGACTTTCCACCGGATTTCCATGGGACTTCCACAGGACTTCCATGGGACTTCCTCAGCTCATTATCAGCTCGTCCTTACACATCTTAACCCTGCAACTTCTAGCAACAAAGCCCACTTACCCAAAGTGTTTAACCATAATGCCTTCTTCAATGTTGCTTCATCCTCAGCAAATAGGCGGCAGGTTGACGTGCAAAGGTATGTTTTGCATCACCACTAGCATGACGGGGAGTACCGTTGTCTTGCTTCCTGCTGTCTCCACCATCAAAACCAGCACCAAAGGAAGTAATTCCCAATCTGAGGTATGTCATGCACGTTTGGGGCACTTGAGAATGCAAGCATTAAAAGAGCTAGTGAGTCACAAGAGTGTGGAAAGCATGACTTTGAGTGAGAGTGCAGTCAAGTCTCTTTCGTCCGTCCCTGGTCCGTCGAGTGTCGAAGATAAGTAAGCACGCAAACCTTTCTTTCCTTCTAAATCTCAGTCAAGAGACCCCTTGGAGCTCGTCCACACTGATGTGTTCGAACCTATGAGAGATCTTATTCGAGAAGGTAAGAGATATTTGGAGCAGCCGGCTGTGTCAAAGCCATGCAGCCGGTGTCACAGCCATCACTTACACCACCAGATACCATACCAACCCAAGCAAGGAGTGAGAGAGCAAGTGCCACATCACAAGTGTCTCAGCCATCTGAGAAGTTGGTAAAGGTAAACGAGTTCGCCAGGTTCAGAAGCCCTTCACGTTCACGGTTGATATAGCAAGGTGCACATATGAGGATAGTGAGGGGTGCATTCACAAGAAGGCAGCAGCCATATGCATGACAACGTCCCATCTTCCACGAGAGCCATCAAGTCGTCAAGGGTCCATGGCTAGGAAAGAGATTCCGCATTGGTTAAAGGCCAAGCAAGAGGAGATAGAGAGTCTCATGCAAAGAGGTACATGGTATCTTGTTCCACCGCCCCTAGGGAAGAATATTATTGGTGTCAAGTAGGTGTTCCGGATCAAGGTAAAAGGTGATGGTACCCTCGATAGGTACAAGGCAAGGTTAATGGCAAAAGGTTACTCCCAAATTCTAAGTTTGGATTTCAATGAAACCTTTGTTGCAGTAGCCAAGTACACCATGGTGTGAGTCCTCCTAGCCCTGGCCGCATATCTTGGTCTCCATATCTGCCAAATGGATGTCAAGAATGCGTTCCTCTATGGTGTTTTGGAGGAAGAGGTATACATGGCTCAGTCCGAAGGTTATGATGATGGTACGGGCCGAGTATATTGCTTGGTAAAGTCCCTATATGGCCTCAAACAGTCCACAAGGTCCATGAGAGACATTGCATTGTATTTCATGCACAAAGTGAGGGGGAGTCCATTTGGTTTTTAGTCTATGTCGATGACCTCCTCCTTATCTCAGGTTCCCTTTCCCTTCTCAACCATGTGAAAGGTATCCTCATGAGTGCTTTCGCTATGATGGATCTTGGTGAGTCGAGTAATTACCCTGGTGTTAACAAAGTGAGAGATCACAATTCAAGGTCCTTCTTCCTATTTCAGCAAAGGTACATTCAAAAGTACTAGAGAGGTTTGATCTTGAGGATTTCAAGCCCTCACCTACCCCACTTCCTTCCAACTTTGTCCCATTGTCAACATTTCAGCCCAATGAGGAGAAAGAGTCAAGGTTTTAGAGTGATGTCATGGGTAGTGAGGAGTTGTTTCATGAGGAGAGTGAAGTGCATGGTGA